AAAATATAAAGAAGCCATCCATTATAGACCTCCGTAGGATAGTAAAATTCAAATTGTAGACATTTAAATGCACTTTTTAATCTAAAGCTATCAAATCAATCACTATTGGAGCAAATAAATGTCAAGAGATTCTCATTATTCAAGTCTAATTCTGTAGTCTGGATTATCCAGAAAGAATAATAAAACCTTGACGATGTTTAGCAGGATCTTTGGTTTAATTGGTGTAAAACCAGCAGGGTTTGGCACGTTTACTTTCTTGAACCGAAACTGTGATTACCTAGAGATACTATGATAGAGCGTGTTTCACCGTTATCTATTGTTTGAAATGAATCACTTTTCCAGATGCCTTAAAGTGATTGTAAAGATGTTTTCTAAACCATTTAATTTTATCGGGGACACTGATAGCATCGATATGCACCATTCCAATTTCAGTCAGATGTCTGTAGTTCACCCCCTCTGTCGGTTCAGTTAGTTTACAATTAGTCTGAAAAGGAATTAATTTTAACACAAGTTTTGATATCTTTCCGTTTGATATGCAACTAATAGCCCCGACTGCGCCGACATAAAATGTACTAGGTCGCGGTCAGACGTGAGAAAAACTAGAGGAAAAGTCGACCTCATACCTCAATGCGCTCTTACGTTTTTGCACCGCCTTTTCCACGCTTATTTACTGTTCAAGGGGGTATGTTTTGAACATGTCCAAAACAAACGCGAGTCCACGATTAGTGGCGACAATTTCAGGATGTCTGGTGTGTCCTACACGCTTATACCAAGGCGACTTTAACACACTCTGAGCCAATTCTACATCGCAGGAGCAGCGCATTAAGAACCTATTTCCGATGTGACGGGGTCATTAAAGTGATTGAGATGTTAATATACAGCATTTGAGATGTTTTTGCCTCCATTAAAGACAAGAGAGCGGTAGAATTCTTTAATGACTATCTAATAACTATGATTTCTGCCATGTGAAAATATAATCATAAAATAATTGTCTTGTTCTTGTAGGTAATTTGGGGTTTGAAAAAGTTAAAATCATACTTTACGTCTCATAGGTATTTAAATTTTCATAAGTTTTCAGAACTCACAAAACACAATTGGCAACTTAAACTAGATAATAATGAGTACAAAATATCCTGATCCATTGGTAGCAGAGCTAAAGCCTACACAAAAGATAGTGGACCACAGCCATATACGCCCTCCACGGCATGCGGATGGTAAAAACGAAACATCCATTTTAAGTTTCATCAAAATCGGTTGAAAACTAAGAGTAATAGCATATTCAAGATTTTGGGGCAAGGGCAATAACTCTGCTTCTAATGGTTGAAAATAGCTCAAATTCGAACTTGATCTTCGTTTTATGAATATGTACACACATACCAAATTTCATTTGATTCCATCAAAAATCTTAGAACGTTTACAAGCAAATGTTGACGGACGGACGGACGGACGGAGGGACCGACGGGCGGACAGGGGTGCCGACAATATACGTCCACATAGAGAAATGTGGGCGTATAATAAAACGATGTAAACTGTGTTTCACTGAAAAAACTTTCCACCATTAATGCCCCTTAGCACACTTCTTTAAACAAATGTTCCGAACTCGTCTCGAAGTGTAGACATGAGAATAAGTTCTACTTGTCCAACATCAGACGGGACGCAGCCTGAAAATAATTCAGTTGCCTGAAGATCACATAGCGTGAAACTCTTTTTTATAGGTTCTATTTTAATATTCCGTGCTTTCAGAACATGTAATTTTGTTGGGATAAAGACTCCCAAGAATATGTTTTTACCCCAAAATTTATTACAATCGGAGACGTGAGACTGATGAATTATGAAGACTGACGTCACTTCTGCTTTTTCGTTTTGCTGAAATTGCAGACGAACCAAACATAGAATTTGCATTATGAAAAGTATTTCGATTGCCATATCTTTTTAGTAACCTCTTTCATCTTCAGGATTTTAGTTAGTCTACCATTAAACTATATCAGTGGTTTCCCGAATTTCTTACCTAGTTATGAGAGTTAGTCTTTTTTTTGCCATAGGGACTACTTGAACCAAGTCCACGGGCCCCACCCCACCCCCAGAAAATACAAAATTAAAAATAAACGTACCAAAGTAAGTATCTAAAATATTAACACACAATTACAAAAATGGTTCATAACTTATGCTTGGGCCCTACCATGAGCAATAGAATGTCCTTATTTCATTATTTTATTATTTAATTTCCACTGGGCCCGGGCTCGTACTCACTTGAGTCTACGGGCCCACACTCATTTGTTGAGCCTCTGCAACCATTCGATGACCTTCTAATATGAAATCCCATTGCCTTACATAAATAAGATCTGCAGTAGTTAAGTTATTTGTGATTATCATTTGAAATGCCACAGCGTTATTTAATTACTATGCGGATGTATAATCATATCGCGAAAAATATCGCCCGCTGTCATAATAAAATATCATTATGTTTTTCAAGTAAAAAGAGAAACTGACACGAGCTGTCATTTGAGACGGATCATTATCAAACAAATTTTAATATATTACTTGAAACATTTTTAAAAGAAAGTTGATGAATCTATGATTTAATGACAAGGGGGTTGATTTTTTTTTTAGAAGAATCGAGTTTCAAATTCTAAAGGGATATCGTCATCTAAATATTTGCTTGACGGAGATTTCAGCTATCTGTAGGATTTACAAATCAGTATCAGTAGTGTGTTGCAGAAACTAGTTTAAAAATTCCAAAGAGCTCAGCTTTCAGCTATCCGTAACACTTTTCAAATTGAAGTTATACGTCAGGTTCTCTCGCAATTACATAAAACTTTTACCATAGACCCTATCTAATTACTGTAATGAAACTGTTCTGAAAGGTGACACAAAAGGCAGAAATTGAGCTCTATCACATTTTTAGACGACCGAATTCCTTTATATCATTATTTTTTTCTTACTAAAATATCGAGCTCGAAAGGTTCACAGAAACTGAACTTCATAAATTTGACTCTAATGAACTTGTTTCAGTTCTCGATTTAATGTCAAAAGGCTTCAAATGTCATTTGAAATTTGAAAACAGAAATATTGACTTCGGATTAAAAAAATTAAAGCACACAAGGCGAAACCAGCAAACAGAACATTTGCACTTCAGAAATGATTACAAAGTTCTACTGTGTTTCACTGTAGTAGGTAAACATCGTAAGAGAACTCATAAATATACATGATTGTCAAACCGCAAAACTGAAAGCACGAAAGGAGAAACCAACACGTCCGATATTTCCTCCATGTTTCACTGTGATATAGTTCGAGATAATAAACGCTTATGGTGTTACGTACGTGAAATCAAACCGGCCAATCAACGATATTCCTTATGGTCATTTTTACGATTTGTTTTGTAAAGTCGAACACACGCACGGAAATAGTGAATATTATATGAGTTTGATGAAGGCAGTTTCCGAATGGACTTTTGTGGTATTTCCGAATGGAATTTTTAAATATTCAACGATAACTATATAAAGTTTCTTTTTTTCATATTTGAGAAAGTATCAGATAACTTAAATAACACGATGATGTATCTTTTCAGGAAGTTCGAGTTGCCGGCAGGAACCTGAATGGTGGATGACAGAAAAACAACTGAATGGAAGTGGAACCTGATATCTCTATTACCGACTCTCACGTAATATATATTAGCTTGCTGCATTTCTATTAGGATATTCTGATATTTTTGACACATATTTTACGGAAATTCTTTTGAATTTCAAACTTCTCGTGTTTTCATGAAGCTGAATACAGAAACTGATTTGAACGTTGAAACTTTTATCTCTATACTGCAATATACATTAGCTTGCTGCATTTGTATTAAGATATTTTGACATATTAAGGACAAATCTCTATAGTATATGGAACTGTTTTCAAAGAAGTTGGACAAAAAAAAAGAGATATCTTTATTACCGACTCGCATGCAATATATTGCTAGTATCTTCCATTAACGAGAATTTATAATAGTGATATATCCAAACAAATTCTCCAGTAGAATTTTAAACTGCTGGTGTCTTTATGAAGCTGGATAAAGAAACTGAATGGAAAATAAAAAGTGGTATCTCATATCACTCATATAATGTATAATAGATAATCGTGTTTTTATTCTGTAGGTTTTATATTTCTGATAATCTTAAATCGTGAAAAGAGACATGCATTTGGGATACATTTTCGATGTAATGCGAACGTATTTTTGGACTCAGTAACATTCTCTGATATACATTGAAAAATACTTTCGTGGACACACCATTAATCATTAATTTTGTGGATTAACGGAACGTTTTCTGTCGATAAACGGAACTTTTTCTTTCGATAAACGGTACTTTTTCTGTAGATCAACGGAACTCTTTCTGTGGATTAACGAAACTTTTTCTGTCGATAAACAGAGCTTTTTCTGCGGATTAACGGAACTTTTTCTTTCGATAAACGGAACTTTTTCGTTCGATAAACGGTACTTTTTCTGTGGATTAACGGAACTTTTTCTGTGCATTAACGGAACTTGTCGATTTACCGAACGTTTTCTGTGGGCTTTTGTATGACACAATATTTTATGCAAATGATGAATATTATCATGAATCAAATTCGTTAGCCTATATACGTTCGAGAGTGTTACTCGGATCACAAGAGTCACGATTACCAGAAGAAACAGTGTATACGTTTATGGATATTTTAAACACTGGTATTTGGGTTCAGATGTATTTGGAATTAAGACCGTGATAATGAAGCAAATAATAATAAGTTTCTTGATATAAAATTCAGATTTTTTGCCAATTCAAAATGAAGCAAAAATTCTCAATATCTCAAATTTGGGAGAACTTGTAACAATTCCATAATATAAACTTTGGAGTATTCGCAAAGTCACAATGACTACCATAAGTTTTAATTTCTCCGAGACCACGACGGACAATATGACGGATATCGGAGAACCCGTGGTGGAACAAAGTTACGTGACAATTCGGCGCATACAGACTGTGATGATCCCCATTATATGTGTGATAGGAATAGTAGGGAATACCCTTGCTGCTGGTGCCTTTTTCAGTGCCCAACTTCGCACTATTTCCTGTTGCCTCTATTTAGGAGTAAAGTGTCTCTCAGACATTGGCTTCCTCGTGTCTTTATTCGTCGTTTGGCTGTATCGTGTTCACGTTCCAATATTCAGCCTTAATGTCATCTGCCAGACGACCATTTTCTTGTCGTATATTTGTGCTTTCTCGTCGGTATGGCTCGTTGTAATTATAACATTTGAGAACTTTATCCGAATCAGTCAGCCTCAGTTAGTTCCGGTGATCTGCACGTCCCGCATGGGAAAAATTGTGATAACCTCTTGCACCATAATTTCTCTCTTACTATACAACTTCCCTCTGTGGACAACTGGCATCGTCGAGGACGCACAAGGGACATTCTGCTCAACGTATGGTGAATTTCAGCAAGCGACTGTCATTCTGACGTACATCGACACGATGCTCACGTTAGTCTTGCCGTTTTTCCTCATGGTCATTCTGGTCGTGCTGATAACCATTGCAGCTATACAAGCGTACGAACGTAAGAAACGGTTGTTCATGAATCTAATACGGCCGATCAAGAAGGGGAAAAGCCCCGAAGCTCAAGTGACCAAGATGTTGTTTGCGGTGTCCGTGGTATTTTTGGTTCTCCACACGCCGATCCATGGTATCCGGATTAAGCTCATGATTTTGGAGTTTCTTCAGAACGCGCACGTGTCTACCAACGACTACATCTTCCAACGGTTATTCGAATTGTTATACTATATCGACTTCTGTATCAGTTTGGCAGTGTATCTAATCTTTGGGGACAACTTCAAAAAAGTGTTCATCCGAATGTATTTCAAAAGATGCTGCCGAGTACCGACCGCTGACGTGGACGAAAATCACATGACGAATCATATCTCAATTAGTACTACGTCTCGTGGTGTCGATGTTTAAAGCGCCTAACTCTGTGTAGTGCAATTAAGGTTTATTATTGGTGATTTTGTAGAAAATGAAACAATGTGGAGTTTTACTTCTTATCTGTGATTTGTGAAAAGAATTAATGATTTCGTTTCAAAAATGAAACTTGGATTGATGAGATTTAAGGGATAGAAAACTCTTGATTAAATTCAAAGACTAGTCCGTGGTGTTTTCTTTTTAAAGTTCCGGAATTGTAATTGTATAGACTATGTATCATTAATACATTTCGGGGTTAGTGACGTCATCCATTCAATATGTACTGCATAAGTCTTATATACATATTTTTTTTTTGCATGATTAGAATGTTATTTAAATTTGGGGAGGGGGAATGGAGATTTCTCGCACCTCTAGTCACAGGTCATACCGCATATCTCATTATGGAGTCGGAAGAACTACTTTCTTGGGTATGGAATAACCGTACAGTTCTGGCTACAAACCATTTTTCAAATTTTCAAAGCAAACTCCGATACTCCTGCCTTCAATTGTAAGCGTGTTCAAAAAAAGTTTTCATTAGACGTTTGATCACGTGGAGATCAGTTTTTTCTCGCTTTCATTAATCTGCCAATGTGGTAGAAATTCGCTTATATGGAGGACATGCTACCCTTATAGCTAAAGTGAACCCCACACCATAGCGATCACCAGTAGTGTATGATTACAAATAAGAATCGAACGTAACTCCCATGCAATTGAGTTGTGAGTTGCGTTCGATACTCATGACCACTTTCATTATTCGCAAACATTAGGAACTGGTAATCGCTTTGGTGTGAGGGCACCTTAACTGAATAGAAGATTTACACAAAGTACAAGTTGTTAAGTCGAAACGCCTCTCTTACTAACGGCGTTTTCCCAATTGAACTGATGTAACATGGCAGTTTAGACTCAACACCTTCCTTTAAAAGACGCTCGAATGATTTTATGAATGATGATATTCCTATATCAAACGACGTGCGAGGCTTAAAGAATATTATGTCAGTCCTTGAACATTACAGCATTCCACATTCCAATGGAGATATATTAGTTTAGAAATATTGCTCATTGGCTTTATAACACAGTACCAGTTGTAACGTGGACTGAATTTTGAACTAATTCAAGACGTGTTTGAATTTCTGACAGAGAATTTGGTATTGAGAGTTTTAAATAAAGATTTTATTTCTATTTAAGCTATTTTCTGTACTATTGAGGGGGTGGGGGGATTTCGTTGTGGAGAACTCTATCACCCCTATTCAAAAGAAGGCTTGCACCTGTCACCTGTACAGAACTTATATTTGAATGCCAACCACGACCTCCGCCATTAAGTCGCCACCAACTGCCTTACATGTCCATACTCTGACGATTCGCACGCAATGTAAATGCACACCATGCATGCCCCCTTAGATGTACTATCTTTACTACCTAGATATGGTGCCATAGCAGGCGCACGTAGCGGGTGTTCTATAAACTACTAATTTTTGTTCACGCGTACTATGTTATACCTTTGCGCACAAAGATACTTTTTTATGCCCCCCTTATGCACCTATGCTATGGCGCCTCGAGTGAGCATATCGTCAACTCTATTCCCCACACCTCGAGACTGCACACACCAGTGTCGTCACTATTCAGAGCGAAAGAGCGTGATAATGCTAATCTTTTTATGCCCCAATCGTCGTGTAGCTAGCTCAACTGAGCAAGATAATGTCACCTGTGATATGCCCCACCTCTGGGGACGAAAATACGTGAATTAAATGTGCCCCCACTAAGCATTCTGATATGCCCTAACCCGGTTGATGATACACACGCCAATTCCACGTGTATAGCTCCAGATGTCACTCTGCGCCTCGACTTTGCATGGCCTTACCCCTTGGGACGGTAAATACGTCAATCCACGTAGCTCGCGGCTAAAAGACCCGGTGACCGCTTTCAATCTCTCATTAACTCTACCCCCTTCGAGGATTATGCCGGAATCGTTCCTGCCATCAATCAATGTACAGCCATGGCTGTTTTTCCGACCCGCTGAAATAACTCGGTAAGCAGAAGTGATTCATAATGTTCTAGGTCGGTCACTGATATTTATATATAGAGCTTTATGAAGTGTAGTTCATTACGACATGGCTGTGCTTGGATGGCCATCCGACTCTTTTGTGGCCACTAGCGTTTTAATGACTTTTCAGGTGGATGTGGAGGGGAGGGGGGCGGGGTTATTTGAGTGAGGTCCACAGAATTGTCACAAGCAATTTGTAAAATGACGAAAATTTTCTTAGTGAAAGGTGGGCCGAGTTAAAGCCGTACAAGCTTCAGCGCTGGGACTTGACAGGGAAACATATTCTCTACTAATGTTATTTCTTGCCCGATTCCATAGATGTGTATGTCTTGAACCAGTAAAAGACGTCATTTTGAGCCGTTTTTACGCGAGATCGGCATCTTAGTTTGATGAAATATTATATGTAATGACAGGAACCATGGACGTAGGATGATAAATCAGAATGGTGCGAATAGAAGCTGTATGTGTACAGGCTCGTATCCAACCCAATGTGCAAAGGGGGCGGCCGCATTTGCATGAGGAGCAAAATAGCTGATGTAGACTGATTTCAGCTTCAATTGATAATTGTTCTAATTTTGCAGGGGGTGGAGGTGGGGGAGAATATATTTCCACCCCTCCCCCCCCCCCCCCCCCCTTCCATCTTTAGTTACGGGACTATATGTCTATCCTTGATACACTTACAAAGACAAGAAGACCTATTTTGAATACCATTAAAAAAAAATCCCAATTGTAATATGACGGATAGAAAACAAAGATGTAACGATACCCTGAGGGTTCGGTTCATTCCACAACCATGATGTCTAATGCAGTTAATGAAATTAATGATGATGTTTTTTTACTGCACATTGCACAATAGAAAAATTTATGATCTCCGTAGAGGATAGCAAGCTGGTAAACATCGTGTTAAGGGATTAAGGGATTAGTTAGAGAAATTCCATCTATTAAAATTATGCAATACTTGAACACTTATTACCACAAAAGCATTTAGACTATTAGATAATGGAACCTCCGGAGGGTTGGCAGGTTGGCAAACTCAGTCACGGAGTTGCAGGAATGAATATTTTAAAAGAATCACAGTCAATCATAATACAATGCATTAACTTCTATTAAATAATATATAAGCTCTGGAGAGGATGGCAAGTTGAAAAACCCAGTCGCAGCATGACATCAAGCTTGCAGAATGCTGATTAATGTCGGCCAATTTGTATCACAATAACAATCCGATAATGTGGAATCTCTGCGGAGGTAGCAGTTTAGAGTCACCATCGCCATGAACATTTCTTTAATTACATGAACCACAGACATCTCCATCTGGCGGAATATAAGAATGGTGCAAAAAGAAGTCATAAATGGCCCCAATACACACAAAAGATTAGAAACCTCTCTATAATCCCTTTAAATAAATGAGCGAAATGCGATTCAGACACCACAGTGGTCGGACAATGACTGTTTTTCAGATCTTTTTTCAGAATTGTAATGAACTTTTGTTTCTCAATACGAAGACATAGGATATTGGAATATAGTGTAGGCAATTTTGTCATGAAATAAAGATTTTTTTTTTATGATAAATGCAATGACCCACTTATTTATAAGAGAAAGTATAATAAGCTTTCAAAAATAGGGTGTTAATATTTTTTTTGAAAATTATGAAGGTATAAATTTCAAGATTGCGTCCAAAATGGCCGCCGAAAACTAATATTGATATATTTTCGCTTATGCATGTGATGCAATTAGAAATTAAGTGTCTAGATATGTATGTTTTCTAACACCAGGAATCTAATGAAATCATCAAATCGATGTTTTATTTATGATTTACGTGCCATTTCCGAAATGGCATCCGCAATATCAACTATACCGTCTCCCTTGGCATGCATTACCAAGCCAACAGGATTTTGTACAAATACAATTATAGATAAGCTAATAATCTTCAACTTATTTATATAAAAAACCATAATGAGCAAAATACAATTAAGATATTAATTGGTCGGACAAAAATAACGAACAAAATACAATTAAAGGAATACTACCTCTTAGAAAGGACCTGAAATTTATAGTTTCAAACTTGGTCAATAAGTGTATATATTCATCAGTTGGACTTAGCATGTGACATGACTAAAGAATAGAATCTCTATATAAGATGATAAATTAATTAAACGAAATATTTATTCAAAAATGCTTCCAGGCATGAATTTTTAATGACTTCATGGATTTATTGGATAATAGAGGGATTCTGTCGTACAGTTTTAACACTAGGCAAGTCCACTGATGAACGAAGACTAATTTTGGCCAAGTTTCAAAAGTTAAATTTTCGGTCATTCAAAGAGGTAGTATACCTTTAACGAAACCACATTAGTCGAACAATGAATGTTACACAGACTATGATTCTTAACTACGAAAACAAAGGCAATTAGAACAGTAATGAATAAGGAATAAAGCTACGAGGAAAAACAATAATTAAATCTATGTAACTCTGTTTCTCGTTCATCCGCTTGCATGTAATATCATCTAATCACTATATGACTCTGGTGTACTGAAGTGACGTAGCTGCAGGATTTGATTACGGTACTAGGATTTTAACACGATTTCAACAGAATGGTAGTCCGAACCTACTGACTCTTACCTTCCTTTAATTAATCCTTTAACGGCATTTACGGGTAGAGATCACATTGAATAACAAAACACAATTTTATGGTATACTACTCCTTAGTTT